AGCCATTTTCAGATCTCTCCAGAGATGTTCAATCTGGTTCAAGTCTGGGCTCTGGCTTGGCCACTCTAGGACATTCACAGAGTTGGCCGTAGCCACTCCTTTGTTATGTGGGCTGTGTGCTTAGGGTCGTTGTCCTGTTGAAAGATGAACCGTCACCCCAGTCTAAGGTCCAGAGTGCCCTGGAACAGGTTTTCTTCAAGGATGTCTCTGTACATTGCTGCTTTCATCTTTCCTTCAATCCTGACTAGTCTCCCAGTTCCTGCTGCTGAAAAACATCCCCACAGCATGATGCTGCCACCACTATGCTTCACTGTAGGGATGGTATTGGCCAGGTGGTGAGCGGTGCCTGGTTTTCTCCAGACATGACGCTTGGCATTCAGGCCAAAGAGTTCAATCTTTGTTTCATCAGACCAGAGAATTTTGTTTCTCATGGTCTGAGAGTCCATCAGGTGCCTTTTGGCAAACTCCAAGTGGGCTGCCATTTGCCTTTTACTGAGGAATGGCTTCTGTCTGGCCACTCTCTCCACAGAGAAACGCTAGAGCTCTTTCAGAGTGACCATCGGGTGCTTGGTTACCTCCCTGGCTAAGGCCCTTCTCCCTTGATCACTCATTTTGGCTGGGTGGCCCGCTCTAGGAAGATGCCTGGTGGTTCCAAACTTCTTCCATTTACGGATGATGGAGGCCACTGTGCCCATTGAGACCTTCAATGCTGCAGACATTTTTCTGTACCCTTCCCCAGATCTATGCCTTGATACAATCCTGTCTCGAATGTCTACGGACAATTCCTTGAACATCATGGCTTGGTTTGTGCTCTGACATGCACTGTTAAATCTGGGACCTTATATAGACAGGTTTATACCTTTCCTAATCATGTCCAATCAACTGAATTTCCCACAGGTAGACTCCAATCAAGTTGTGGAAACATCTCAAGGATGATCAGTGGGAACAGGATGCACTAGAGCTCAATTTTGAGTGTCATGGCAAAGGCTGTGAATACTTATGTACATGTGTTTTTCTCATCTTTTATTTTTAATATATTGCAAAGATTTCAAAACAAACTTCTTTCAAGTTGTCATTATGGGGTATTGTTTGTAGAATGTTGAGGAAAAAATATATTTAATCCATTTTGGAATAAGGCTGTAGCATAACAAAATGTGGCAAAAGTTAAGTGCTGTGAATACTTTCTGGGTTTCTGTATATATACACACACACACATATAGTGGAGTTTTATACTAAGGCTACTTTCACACTGAGGAGTTTTTGACGCATTTTGCGTAAAAAAAAAAAAGTGGCTAAAAAGCTCAAGAAAAATGCTGTCCTGTGTATGTGAATGTATATCTATTTGTGTTTACACACTGAGGCGTTGCACTTGCGGTGTGGTGTAAAAACTCCTGCTTGCAGCATCTTTGGGGCATGTTTGGTGAGTTATGAGTTAAAAAAAAACGCCCCAAAAACCGCCTCTTGCCATTGAAATCAATGGAAAAACAAATGAAAAACGCCAGAAAAGCACCTGAAAAATGCCTCACAAATGCCTCTGAGAAGTGTTTTTGGTGTTTTGAAGTCATGTGTCCTTTAAAAATGCTCAGAAAGCGCAGCAGAAGTGCGGTAAAAAAAGCGCCTATGCATTTTTGCTGAGTTTTTGCGGCGGATCAGAGTGAAAGTAGCCTTAGGTGAAGAGCTTCAAGGATTCAATCCACTCACCAGCTTGCACTTCTATTCAAAAGTTCTTTTACAGAAGAGAGTTGTCCTCACAGGGTTTCCCACCATCTATCTACAATCACATTAAACAACATATGCAAACTGTTGTAATTCCTACACCGTTCACCTGATTTGAATGTAAATACCCTCAAATATAAGCTGACAGTCTGCAGTTAAAGCACATCTTGTTCGTTTCATTTCAAATCCATTGTGGTGGTGTATAGAGCCAAAAATGTTAGAATTGTGTCAATGTCCCAATATTTATGGACCTGACTGTATATCCTTTCAGCCTCCTTGCTGTTTTTGGTATGCTCAGGCTACAGCCTATCTCAGCCTCAGTCTCCTGGCTATTTGGTCTGCTCCAAACTTAAAGTGGTTCTAAACTTAAAAGGTTTTTAGCCTTAGGGCCAGTTCACACCACAAAAACGCACTCCCGGATGCATTCACACTACACTCCATTCCAGTGCAGTTTTGATGCAGTTTGCTATGTTCCAATACAGTTCTGTGCAGAAAAAATGCAGCATGTTCTACTTTTTTTTCGTGCAAAACTGACTGGACCTGACTACACTGGTGTGTGAATTGGGGAGTTTTTTAAGGGGAAAGAAGTGGAATGTTATGCAATGGCCAAAGTCAATCACCTGACGATCCGATGATTGAGCATGCATTACACTTGCTGAAGACCAAAAACTGAAGGGAAAATGCCCCAAGAACCAAGCAGGATTGAGGACAGTTTGCAGTATTAAGAGGCCAGGCAGAGCATCATTGGAATACATGGAAAACACTGTGCATGTATTTTTGATACAGAAAAAAAATGCACTGGACTGCATCTAATGTGAACTAGCCCTTAATGCATCTACTTCATTAAAGGAGAAGTACAGCCAAAGCCCGTTTGGCTGTACTTCTCTTGTGGATCACAGGAGTGCAGTTCGCTCTGCACTTCTGTGATCCATTTCAGCTGACAGCGGGATAAAGTCCATTGTTGGCTTATGTCACTCAACCGGTCCAGGCTGGAGAAAGATCTCGACCGTATGGTCGGGATCCACCCAGGAGCCTGGACTGGCACCTGGCTCAGCCTGAGCTGGCTGCCTCCACCCCCTCCACAGCCCCGTGCTCCAGTGTGAGCTGGGGGGGGCAAGCAGAGAGAGCAGGAGACAGTCCCACTCTCTGCTCAGAGTGGCAAGGAGAACGGAGTGATCAGTGGTCATGTGATCGCTCAATTCTCACCTTAGAACCAGTGGGGGATAAATGCAGCATCAGATCGATACTTCGATTTGATGCTTCGATGATGCTCCTGTAATTCTTTTTTAAAGCTTCAATGAAGATTTGCAAATGCCCTGAGTGTGTTGATTTTCTATTTGTTTTAAAGGGGCTCAGTAGAACTCTGACTCGGTAGTACCCCCACTCAGAAAATCCCCAGCTTATTAGTATCATTGTTCAGCAGATCCCCAGCTCATTGGTACCCTTGTTCAGCAGATCCCCAGCTCGTTGGTACCCTTGTTCAGCAGATCCCCAGCTTGTTAGTATCCTCATTCAGCAGATCCCCTGCTCAGTAGTACCCCCAGCATTGCTGATCCCTTGCCTGATTCTCCACTCAGTTGTAACCCTAACCTCTGCTGATTCTCTGGTTTGCTCCTCCTCTCTCTCTGGTCCCTGCTAACCTCCTGCTATATTGCTCCCACACTGCACACCAATTGTGACATTGCTAGTTTCTTCTGCTCTGGTACCCCAGCTCTGCTGATCCTCTTCTGCTTAGTTCTTTCTCTCTGGTCCCTACTCACCTTCTGTCCCCTTGTTGCACACCAGGTGTGCCATCTACTAGTTGCTCCACTCTAGTATGAACCCCTATCACCTTCCTGCGGCTCCACACTGCACCCCAGATGTGGCGTCTGCACCAGATACTCCCACAATATATACACATGAACTGTAAGCGACTGATAGTGATGTATTTTCGATTTGCTTGTTTCTGAGTGCATCCTGGGATATCTCATACCTGCAATACCTGCAAAACAAAGCAAAACTAAAGCTGAATAAAAGCCTCTTAAAAGCTGCAGGTGCTATGAGCGTGCTTTGTTGTCGACTTCTATGGAGGGGTATATGACAAGGGGTATAATTTTTTAAGCAATTCAGAGTGCTAAAAAAAAAAAATCATGTCCAATTCTGCAGTTTGAAGAAAGTGTAAATGAGCCCTTAGTATCAATATGTCTGTCTATGCACAAACATGACAGTTCTCTCGGGTGACATCCTTTTAATGCAGTACAGAACAGACACTTACCTTGTGTCTGTACACATTTGTTGCTCCCTGGCAGTATGATGGTCTTCTGGGAAGGGAGGATTCCTGAGCCTAAGTTAGCGCTGAAACAAAGAGCCCCATGCACAGCTAAGTAATAATGTGGTCTGGTTGTCAGCTAAGCTGTGGACCTAGGAATGAAAGCCAAGGCTCTACAATATAGTATATATACCCATTTTTATTATATTTCCATTGCAGCTTTCATACGAGAAACAGTGGCAGATGGAATTCAACATTCATGGTGTGATTTACTAATGGTCTGCCAGGACAGCCAGTCATGATATGGGGAAAGGTTCAATTGGCCGTTTGAAGCAAACACATTTGTGGCCTGGCAAACCATGAATATATCACATCCTTAGTTTCTATGTCACACAGAAGTGTTTAATGCTTTTAGAATGCCAATTAATATTGGTTGGAAAAATAATGTGCCAAGATTAAACAAAGGTAATACCATCAACAAGAATAGGGTTTTTTTTTCTTTTATTTTAAAATAAGTATTGCTCAATTTTTAAAAATGCTAAGTAGCAACTTTCTAATAATAATAGTTTGTGAAAAACAAAGACATAAAGAACCTGAAGTGGTACGGACCTCCTAGGAGAAGGTAATCTGGAGTATGGGCAGTCAGGCACATCTTTATCCTGCGGCTTATCTCATTGCAAGATGCAATCTGGCCATGCCAACCACTTGCTGTGGCCCACATAGCTGAGGTTGTTTCTCAATTGTATCCCAGGGTGGCTGACATTTTGCTATGCTCTTTTGACTTTTTAATTGTAAAGTCAGGCAAATTACCTGTTATGGGTATTGTCAATGTTTACATATTGTTTATACTGTTTAACCACCTTCCGCCCGCCCTATAGTACAATCACGGGCGCAAGGTGGTTCTCTCGTTCTGATAGGACGTCATATGACGTCCTTCCATTCTCACTGCGCATCGCGGCTCAGGGAGCACGCAGCACGGCGATCGCCAGTCCGCTGTGTCCCTCGGACACATCACGAAAGAGCCGAAGATGTCGGCTCGGTCATGTGTTCAGCTGTGCCCAATCACAGCTGATCACATGTAAACACGGAAATGCCGGTTATCGGCATTTCTCTCCTCTCGAGCTGTCACGCTGACAGCTTGAGAGGAGAGGAGAGCCGGTAATCGGCTTTCCGCGGAGGGGACATGTACACTGATCATCAGGGCACTGATGATCAGTGTGCCTTGATGATCAGTGTGGCCCCAGCAGTGCCACCTGTCAGTGCTCATCAGTGCCAGTGCCCATCAGTGCCACGTGCCAGTGCCCATCAGTGCCACATCAATGCCACATATCAGTGCATACCAGTGCACATCAATGCCACATATCAGTGCCCATCTGAGCTTCCTTTCAATGTCACCCATCAGTGCCAGTCAGTGCCACCTATCAGTGCTGCCAATCAGTGCCACCTATCAGTGCCAGTCAGTGCCGCCTATCAGTGCCAGTCAGTGCCGCCTATCAGTGCCAGTCAGTGCCGCCTATCAGTGCCAGTCAGTGCCGTCTATCAGTTCCAGTCAGTGCTGCCTATCAGTGCCGCCTATCAGTACCATATATCAGTGCCATGTATCAGTGTCATGTATCAGTGCTGCCTTTCAGTACCCATCAGTGATGCCTGTCAATGCCCATCAGTGCAACCTACCAGTGCCTCCTCATCAGTGCTCATCAGTGCCACCTATCAGTGTTCATCAGTGCAGCTTCTTTAGCGCACATCAGTGAAGGAGAAAAATCACTTATTTACAAAATTGTATAACAAAAACTAAGAAAAAACGTTTTTTTTTTTTTTTTCAAAATTTTCAGTGGTTTTTGGTTTGTTTAAGAAAAAATAAAAATCCCAGAGGTGATTAAATACCACCAAAAGAAATCTCTATCTGTCTCAAAAAAATTACAAAAATTTCATATGGGTACAATGTTGCATGACCGCGCAATTGTCATTCAAAGTGTGACAGTGCTGAAAGCTGGAAATTGGCCTGGGCAGGAAGGGGGTATAAGTGCCCTGTAGGCTAGTGGTTAAATATTAAATGCTTTCGTTTCTAAGGGCTTGTTCACGCTAGTGGTTGAAGGGTGGTAAAACGTAGTGGTTGAGACACATTTTTTACCACCCATCAACTGCTCTCTCTCTCTCTCTCTCTTTAGCTGGAAAGGCAGCAGCCAGGGTTGTACATATGCCGCAGTCACAATGCTTTTCTTTGTTAGGAATTATACCCCTGTCGTGTTCTATGAGCACTACTGCCCACCGAACATGGCCCATTCAAGTGAATGGGGCCACAATGCAACCACTCGCAATGCTCTTGGTTGCGGCATGGTAGTCTGGCATTTAGAGGCCTAAAACAAATGAAGCATTTTGAACAAGAGAACAGATAGCACTGCAAGAGCAAACAAGGCCTAATAGTTGTTTCTGTCATTTTTCAGGTTGTCAGTACAAAATGGGATCTGGTAGCAAATTTTCCATGTTTTGTCAATAAAAAAGTCACAGGGGCAGGGGCAGACTGACCATTCGGGAACTAGGGCACTGCCCGAGGGCCCAGGGCCAGTAGGGGGCCCCTTGAGATGGCCCTGGTACCTTTCGTAGGCTTTTTTGGGTATGGTTTGAGTGTGGGCGAGGACACAGGGGCCCCATGATCCCCCATTTCCCGGGGGCCCCGTGAGTTGTTAAAGCAACCCTAAATATCTCTCTACACTTTATTACAGCATTTTGAAGCTGCCCACCAACATTAGAGACTGATTGGCCTGTGTAGGCATGATATAACAAAGATCTGAGGATGTAGCCTGTAGAATCAATATGCAAGCTCAAGAAACCAGCAATAAATCAACGCATTCCGCCATGTACAATTACTATTTCTCCACTCCTGCTTTTTGCTATCAGTATCTGCTCTGTCACGCACACTGTATATACAGTATCTCACAGGAGTAAGTACACCCCTCACATATTTGTAAATATTTTATTATATTTTTTCATGTGACAACACTGAAGAAATGACACTTTGCTACAATGTAAAGTGAATGTACAGTCTTGTATAACAGTGTAAATTTGCTGTCCCCTCAAAGTAACTCAAAGCACAGCCATTAATGCCTAAACCGCTGGCAACAAAAGTGAGAGGTGTACTCACTTCTGTGAGATACTGTACATATTTATATATAATATCGCAATGGTTTTATTGCGACAATTTTAACTTTTTTTTTCTTTATTGAACTCAAGCATTATACCTAAATATAAAAGATAAAAGTGCTTATATATTCACAATTACAGTGACCGTATAAAATATATGAATACAAATAGCCTTGTCTATCTGAATCTTGTAAACATACTTTCCAATTGTGGAGTGAGTCTGTTGAGTGAGTGAGTGAGTGAGTGAGTTGAGTTTTATCAGGCATAGTGTATAGTATACCAAGTAGGAATAAATTAAATATTAACTCTTTGGGTGGCAAATTTAACACTCCCAATAGTAGGTATTGAAAGGTAGGTTTACCCTGTTCCTTACATTTTTCTTCAAAGCAGTGGCGCAGTTGTAGAGATCTATGGAAGAAACTATAGTGTAAACATTTTCTCTTCTGTAATTACAAAAAAAATTACATTTCACATACCATGTACTGTACTGTACTATGTACTAAGCTGTGCTAATATAACATTGTCCCATTAGGTTAACATATCAGGTAGGTTGTGAACCAATATGGCCAATTTCAGGATGGGTAGGTTGTGTTTGCAGGGGCATAGCTAAGGGGCCTCCAGGAATATCAACAATTATTTAGCCCCAAGAATATATATAAAACTTTGTTCCTGAGTTATGGGAAACTAAATTGAGGACGTATGTGCTAAGGTGTTCTAGTTTTCCTGCCAAGTAATACAAACACTTATCCAACAGGGCTATACTGGCATCTTCTTTAAATCTTTGTAGTGTAGCTAGTGTCAATTTACTTCTAGTGATACCCCATACAGAGAATTAGGTTCTTGGAAAAAGGATTTTGGTTGTGTCTCAGGCATATGTATGTGTAAATATATAGCTACATTTTAGCAAAACAATCATTTTGACTAAGTTCATTCTGCCTGCAATGGATAGTGGCAGTTTATACCACATCTGCAGTTTACCCTTAGGCTCCATGCACACGGGGTGTATTGATAACGCTGGTAACGTTAGCTGTGTAAAGTCACAATAAAAACGTGAGTATTTCAGCTTTTTTTTTTTAGCATTTTTGCATTAGTGTTTAGAGCCGTTTAGCTGCATTTAGCAATGTTTTTCCGCGTTTGCATTTTTTTTAGCATTTTTTGGGTCAAAAAAAAAAATCACAAATGCCGGTTTGCAGTGGTTTACCGCATTTTGCCATGTTTTTCAGTGTTAGAGCATTTTTACAGCTAAAAAGCTCTTCTAGAAACCCACTAGTCCTGGGTTTTTTTTTCCAGCCAACAAACGTCCCCACCAAAAAATGTTGATTACAGTCTATGTGTGCATGGACACATATTATAACATGCTGCGTGTTTTACTAGCTGTAGAAAAAAAAACGTCAAAAGCCAAAAAGAGCAGCTGAGGACTTATTAGTTTGCATTAGTGAGCTAATGTTCACCTGAGATGGCACAGGAGGGGTCCTTTGTAATTATAATTATCTGGTACATAAAAGAAGGCACAACAATGAGAGGGATCTGAGGTGGTCTAGAGTACATGGCTCTAGATGCTAATGGCATCAGGACAGACTTTTACCAGCAAATGTTGAGACAACCAAATTCACCACCAAAATTCTTCAGTAGTCTGAAGGGCCAAGAATAAAGAATGGCCTGTATGTTGTATATATATTATTAAATCATTGGCATCTAGGCCTATTCATTCAGTTATTTGCCCTAGGGCAATGTCTCCAAAACGCTCTATTTGCTAGACATTAAATGGCAAGTGTCTCTTATGCTATAGCAAAAAGGAGGAGAGACAAGGGGGCTGGATGGAAGGATAGAGGAAATGAGGCTGATAATGAGTGTGTTAGACTGTAGGTGTGCGTAGAGAATAGTAATCCATTTTCTGAAATACTTTGCCAAAGCATTGAGAACAAGCATGTAAAAAAGGCCATTTAATAGAGTCCAAAGCCTCAACAGTGTCTAAAGATACCAAGGCACATGTCTCTGGGTGTATGCTTTAGTTGAAACACAATTTGTGTCCTGCAGATATTTCTGTGGACTTTCTAATCATAAAGCATATTTGATTATCATGTATAATAGAGAGTATGAGAATATTCAGGCAAATAGCCAATATTTCTGTTCATATTATGTAATAAAGATTCCATGGGGTCATAATAAGATTGCAACAGAAGTACAATATTCACATCATACATACTTATTGTTAATCTTCCATGTGTAAAAGCTTCCCCACAGGCCCAATTTAGGATAGGAACAATAATATCCAAATACCTTTTATGAACTTCCAAAGGCAGTCCACCAGGGCCTGATGCTTCGCCATTGGCAATATCTAAGACTGCCTGTTTAAACTTATCCACTGTGATTTCTTTCTCCAACATCTGCACTTGGGCTATTTTACAGGCTTAAAGCAGGCCATAGATTATGTGATTTTCTTTGCTGCAACCATGAGTTGAAGGAAAGAAAATTGCTTGATTCCCCAATAAACCCAGTCAGTGTTGATAGGGATATCTATATTTGTGTTCTCCTGGTTTGGGAGACCAATCACAAAGACCAGTGCAACTCGCCCATGCACAGTAGGAAAAGTGGGGGTAAAGCCACAAGACTTTACTTTCAGTTTTGCTTACTTGAAATGCTGGTACCGGGAACCCGGAGGCTAGTGAAGAAATAGCCCGGGTGATGATGACTCTGGACCCCTGGGCAGGTAAGTGTCCTTGTAATTAAAGTAAGCAGCTATGTTATTTGTAGCTGCTGACTTTTAATGTTCTGGGGGAGCCTGGAACTCCTCTTTAAGGTAAAAAATCTTTCATGATCAGATCCCCCCAGATACTTACCTGAGCCCGATCTCAACCCAGTAGTGTGCCCGAGAGTAGTGGCGCTGCTCTCTCTCCTCACAGAACATGGAAGCAACAGTGGGAGCGCTCTGCACTACAAATTTTAAACATTGGCATAGAGTGATGTTGGTGCTTAACTACTAAATATACTTCTGTTTAACAAAGAACAGTTTCAGTTTAGTATTATTAAGCCATCTGGTCATATTTAGTCATGACACATTCTCCCGCGCCGTATGCTTCAGTTTAGTGGAATTTACTATGAAAAAAGTTTCAGTATTGTCACAGGCCTCTGCTAGTTGATTACTGGCTTGGTGAGAAGATGTTTTATTAAAGGAAATAGTAGATTGCACACCGTTAAGAAATGCGTTCAATGCACCCATTGGTATTATTGGTAGTAGGGTCTTTCTGGGCTTCTAAGAACAATTCTGGTCGATCTGGAATGTGGTCATTGCACTCTATCCAAAAATGGTGGATTCTCCACTTAAGCCTGAGA